TAAGGGAGCTCGGGAAGGGACCTGACGCTTCCTGGGAGTCCGCCTCAGCTCAGGGCCTGGGCTGAAGCTGGGAGAAGTGTCCTCGCGAGGGAGGCGACTCCAGCTAGAAGAGGGGCTAGACGGAGGCCAGATGCTCCCCGGCGCCCCCTCACGCGGCTTGCGGGTCTCTCTCCTCCACCTCCCTCTCAGCGGAGGAAGTTTCTGCAGATGAAGCGCAGGAAATACGGCTTCATCTACAAGACGCATCTGTTTGGGCGGCCCACGGTGCGGGTGATGGGCGCGGATAACGTGCGGCGCATCCTGCTGGGAGAGCACCGACTGGTGGCCGTGCAGTGGCCTGCGTCGGTGCGCACCATCCTGGGCGCCGGCTGCCTCTCCAACCTGCACGATTCCTCTCACAAGCAGCGGAAGAAGGTGAGGACGAGGTGGCACCGCCTTGGCTAGCAGGGAGACCTCATTCTTTGGCTTGGCTCAGACAAACAGATGCCGGGCAAGGGTCAGCCGGATGAGGTGGGGACCAGGACCCTCGCCGGGATCCACTTTAGCTTTCCCCGCCGGCACGTGCGCGCGTAGGACTGGAGCGGCTGGGTGTTCCTGGAAGGGGACTCGGGAAGGTAGGGTGGGGCTGGTTTGTAAAGCCCTCTGCTCCCGGGGGTCAGGTGATTATGCAGGCCTTCAACCGTGAGGCCCTCCAGTGCTATGTGCCGGTGATCGCCGAGGAGGTGGGCAGTTGTCTGGAGCAGTGGCTAAGCTGCGGCGAGCGGGGCCTCCTGGTGTACCCCGAGGTGAAGCGCCTCATGTTCCGCATCGCCATGCGCATCCTGCTGGGCTGCGAGCCCGGTTCGGCGGCCAGCGGCGGCGAGGAGGACGAGCAGCAGCTAGTGGAGGCCTTTGAGGAGATGACCCGCAATCTCTTCTCTCTCCCCATCGACGTGCCCTTCAGCGGGCTGTACCGGGTAAGGGTGGTTTGCGGAGTTGGAGCCAGGGGCGCACAAGCCTGGGGTCCTCTCACCACCATTGCTGTCTCCGCGCTCAGGGCGTGAAGGCGAGGAACCTCATTCACGCGCGCATCGAGGAGAATATTCGCGCCAAGATCCGCCGGCCTGGGGTCGAAGAGCCGCAAGGGGATTGCAAGGACGCACTGCAGCTCCTGATCGAGCATTCCTGGGAGAGGGGAGAGCGGCTGGATATGCAGGTGAATAGCAATTGCAAAAGGTGGCAGGCGTGTGTAGGGTGTCTCTGGCCTTCCAGGACACTTCCGGGCGGGGGTGTGTGTGTGTGTTCAAAAGTGCTGTCGAGGGCCCAGCTTCTCAGATGGGCACCCTACCCAGATTCCACTACTGGATCCTGAAGGTTGACTCTAGATCTGGGGAGCTGTGGGAGAGGATGGCTGTGCAGCGGGGATGGTGCCTAGGTTCAAAGGGAAAGTCTCATTTGCAAAGGTTAAAAGAACTTTGTTAGGTATTAAAAAACCTTTAACTCGGGGAGGTCGGGGAAGAACAGAATTAAGGGAGCTTTGCGTTCTTTGACTTGCTATGAACAAAACGTTTATCCCTGTGATCTTCCTGCAAAATTCTCAGTTCAGGTCTTTGTAATGGGCGTTGTAAAACTGCACGCAGATCCGAATAAAATTCCGTTTTCATCCTTAGGCACTAAAGGAATCTTCAACAGAGCTCCTCTTTGGTGGCCACGAAACTACAGCCAGTGCAGCCACCTCGCTCATCGCTTACCTAGGACTCCACCCACACGTTCTCCACAAAGTCCGAGAGGAGATAAAGAGTCAGGTAGGAAGACTGAGGTTCCCTATTTACCTAGGACGTTCCCCTACTGCTCCCTGCCCCCCCCTTCCCAGTAAATAAGTTTGCTTCCTATGAAAATGAAGGACCAAGGGCTGGGGGGGGGGGGAGAATTGCCGTGTGAACTTAAAAAAAGGCAGCTGTTTGTGCTAAGATCTCTCTTGGGCAGGGTTTGACCTTGTGTTCCTGCTCCTCCTCCACCTTTCCAGGAACTGCCGAGATTACTAGGTTCTCCTTTCGTGGATTTTTGCCCATTCAAGAAAATGAATAGTGTGGCTAGTGCCATAGCTTATCAGGGTGGGCAGTGTTGGGGGGGAACGACAACAAGGTATGATCCTTATGCCTGGTGATCAACATTCCCTGGCTGAAAATAGATGGTGGGTTTGGGCTGAGGAAGTGTAGAAGCGACTGGCCATTAGCTGCTATTTCCCTCTTATCCTCTCCCTCCAGAAGCCTTTGGGGTTAGGTAACAGTAACAGTTGACAACAACTGGGCTGATTTTATTGGAATGCCCAAGCATCATTCCCCTCTGTTATCTGTTTTGAAAGGGCTTACTTTGCAAGAGCAATCAAGGCAGCAAGTTAGACATGGCAACGTTGGAGCAGCTTAAATACACTGGGTGTGTTATTAAGGAGACCCTTCGATTGAATCCCCCAGTTCCAGGAGGGTTTCGGGTTGCTCTGAAGACTTTTGAGTTAAACGTGAGTTCTCCTCCTTTCCCATGCCCCACCCTGCCTGTGCTGCTGTGGTTTTGAGCCTCAGCTTCCCTGAGCAGTGGCTTAACTGCCTTGGATACCTTCCTGCTCATATGGATGTGCATTTCAGTAATGCAAATCAACCCTTCCCCTTGCCCTCTCTCTTAACCCCAACCATTACCCGTGATGACGTTCTTGTTGTTGCAAGCTCAAGTCCGGCTTGTCGGTTCTTAGGACTTCATAATTTTTTACAGGGATACCAGATTCCCAAGGGCTGGAATGTTATTTACAGTATCTGTGACACTCATGATGTGGCAGATAACTTCACTAGCAAGGAGGAATTCAACCCTGACCGCTTTATACCGTCTCATCCAGAGGACTCGTCCAGGTTCACCTTCATTCCATTTGGAGGAGGCCCTCGGAGCTGTGTAGGCAAAGAGTTTGCAAAAGTTCTTCTTAAGATATTTACAGTGGAGCTGGCCAGGCATTGTGACTGGCAGCTTCTAAATGGACCTCCTACAATGAAAACCAGCCCCACCGTGTACCCTGTGGACAATCTCCCCGCAAGATTCACCCACTTTCGGGGAGATATCTGATGGGTATTTCAACTCTTGGACTTCTTTGAAGTGTACATTTTTTTTAATAGTGTCATGTTGCCTTTATTTAATTTCTAAATCTATAGTATAATATTTATGTCTCTACTACAGCCCCATGATCTTTAAATATTAAAATAATGAATTTGTATGATTTCCAAATAAAGTAAAATTAAAAAGTACTTTTCTTGCTTCTGAGAGTCTTATTGGCAAGCTGGCCATGGCTGTACGTGGCTGTAATCCTAGCACTTGGAAGGTTAGGGCAGGAAGAACAGGCATTCAAGGGCTACAGAGATGCTGTCTCAAAAGAACAAAACACACCAACAGAAATTCCCATAGTAAAAACTGACCTGTTCAATGTTTGTACTTTGTATATTTACAATGATTTAGAAAGAAACCACAGTTCCCTTCCATGTTAGAAAATATGTATTATGTGTGTGCTGGCCCAAAGATGTTTTTGCAAAGTCTTCTAAGGTAGTTGAGATTCCATATTTTGAAATGTTACCAAGGCTAATTAAGTTACATTTATTTATTTACATTTTTATGGTGCTGAGGGTTGGATCAAAGGCCTCACACATGTAGGGGAAGCCCTTTGCCACTGAGGTACAATTCCCTCGCTGTCAGTCCAAAGTAAAGTTCATATTCTTTTCCTTTTGTGCTTTTTGGAGTTGAACCTGGACAATTTTAGTTATTTGGTGTTGGTTGTTGGCTTTACTGTAGAGAAAGATGGCTCTGGGAAGGTAATGATGCTGGTGTATCAGGAAGCATCTTTCTAGTAACAGGGTCAGCAGATCTAACATCTAAGTTAGCATAATTAATCCGTGTCATATAGAGGCAGAACTCTTCTTTGAAGTTGATGTTTTAGATAAGACAGAGCCAGTCACTCTGATTATGGACAGTTCTTGACCAAAATGAAATTAAAAAAGAAAACCGCTAGCATGTCACCTTCACTTAGAAGTTGCTTCTGAAAACAGTCCTGGGAAAGGCAAGGCTGGTTTAGATAAGCTGAGCCCAGGCTTTCTTTATTCAAGATGAGGCAGTAGGAGCAGATTTAGCTCACTGACAGATAAAGTTTTTATCTATCTCTGGCAATAGGGTGTGAGCCTGACATGACTGATAAAATGGCCCAGTCATGACCCTGTGAACCTTGGCTAACCTCCTGGAAAGCACAGTTTTGTCACAGTTCTGACCCTGGCACCGCCACGTTTCTAAACTGAAGGCCGGACTCAATCCAGAAAGGTTAGCCACGGTGACTTGCTTATGCAAGCACATTCTCCCTTTTGAAATGGCACAACCTGCTTACTGAACCTCTGACGGCTTGTAGGTTTTGGACTTTAAATTTTTCATTACAATTTGAGAATTTGGCAATGCCACAGAAACTGGGTGGTCTGAAATAGGTGTTTGAACAGCGTTCTGTCGACAATTAGACTTACGTATCCTACCTGAGTTTTAGTTTTTGGGTAGAACTACTTATTGTTGGATTCTTCTGATATTTAGAGGGCTTATTGAATAACCCACAATACCTTACAGTAGCCTTACACTGCACCATAAAGAAATGAAGCCAAAGCTTCAGTATTCTCTAGTGTGAAAAGATGGTCCATCTTCACCATAGTTTGCCCCAGATCTTTGCAGATAGATTGAACTAGCCTGAGGGCATCATGATTACAGATTATTTATACAAGGCCATTTTGCTGGTGGGTGATTAGCCTTTACCATCCATGTCTTTGGTGACTTGAGGACTGTGAATCCCCATAAGCTGAGTTCAGTAAGAAACCTGAGTCATTTTAGCATAATTCAACCTCCTAAAAACCACCTTGATTTTTTTTTTTTTAAATCTGGAGAACTTTGAGGAAGGTGCTGGTGGTTTCTCAAGACTACCTTTAGCTCCGTATATTGTCTAGAGCCCACCTCTCAAAAGTACACCTCCAATGCAGTCTCTGATGCTGCTGCAGGTCCTGAGTGGAGGCAGGCTGGGTGTGTGGTGGGAGGCTGGCGTTTATGGGCTGTTGTAAAGGACATAGAGTGAACCTGGGTCACGCCTATGGGGCAAGCATGTTTACGGTAACGAGTACATGTGGGTCAGTGCCCATGTGATGGAGAAATGATGAAGACTTGGCCAAAACTATGGAAAGAGGGCGATGGCTATGGTCGTAGTTATAGGTGGGCTCACCACACTGGACTGGAGCCCTCTGCCTCTTTGCAGCAGGGTTTGTCCTTGTCCTTTCCTGTGCTTTGGTCTTCAGTCAGAGGTGTGGTGCCGCCAACCACAGGTCATCATCAGGGCAGCGGTGTAATGGGAGGGCATCCATGTTCTTAAGGACTGTAACCTCCTCTTAGAGGCTGGAGACCTAGGCAAGGAGATACACCAGAACTTTGGAATCAGAAAAGACTTCCCGGTGCCTTCCAGTCCACTCCTACCCCTTACCTAACAGGTAGTAACATTTGTCTATTATCTTTCCAATTTTCTGTAGTCAGCTGAGGGGTCTATCTCCTCACCTCCTTTCCTGTATCCTACCACTTCTTCTGCCTCTGCTACAGCACTCTTTCACAACGTGACAGGTGAACTGGGACTCCATGTCGCTCCCCCACCCCCATGCCCTGAGTGGTTTCAGGACTTTTGCACTTTGCAAACCCCCAGAGGTCCACAAGGGGGCGGTCTTCTCCCTTCTATGCCAGACTCAGAGCTCTGTGGCTTTTCCACCAGTGTCCATGAAATCCAAAGTTGATACATTCTGGTTCAAGGCTGCTTTGAACCCTTGATAGTGAGGAGCTATCCCAATAATGCACCCAATAATGTAGCAAGGACTCCACAACAGGCCTGGCCTCTCTGGAAGGGATCACATCCTTCAAGATCACCTAGACCATCATTTGGTTCCAGAGGTAGCCAGGCAACCTGTAGACTCTGGATTCAGTATTTCCCACACTGCCCATGTTTTGGTCTATGCTATGCTACCCAGTTTTCCAAAAACACGGGCAACCTAGTCAGTGTTTAAATGACCTGAACTTAATTCTGGAACCATCCCTTGAGAGAAAGAGCACTGTGGGGGCTGTAGAGATGGCTTGGCCATTAAGAGCACTTCCTGCTCTTGCAGAGGACCTGAGTGTGGTTCCCAGCACCCACACTGGCTATCTCACAACTGTCTGTAACTCCAGCTGCAGGAGATCTGATGACTTCTTCTGACCTCTTCTGGCCTCCATGAGTCCGCGTGAGCACACACACACACACACACACACACACACACACACACACACAAGAAAGAGAGAGAGAGAGAGAGAGAGAGAGAGAGAGCCCAATACATAAAATAAAAATAAAATAAGTCTGTTTGTTTTGAAACAGGGTCTCACCATGTAGCCCTGACTCACCTGGTTGGTGTCCAACTCAGAGATCTGCCTGCCTCTGCCTCTGGAGTGCTAGGATTAAAGGTGGGCACTGGGCTGGACAAAATACAATCATAAAAAGAAAGAAAGAGCACTGTGGATGTTCCAGAGGTCTAGATGGCTCCTACAAACAACAGGTCAAAACTACTGTAAATACTAGGGAGGAGGAGGGTGTCAGTGCCACCTTGTGAAGAAGCAGCTAGAGTCCTTTGATCAAACCTGGGATCCATCCGGCAAGGGAGCAAGCTCCCTGTCAACAGGGCCATCAAACAGAAGCTGGGTGCTGATGCTGGCTTAAATGGCTCTCCCATTCTCTTCCAAAGCTAAACAGTTGCAAAGCTCTGAACTTTCATTGTGCTAGTTCAGTTCCTCAGACACCTTCTTTACTTTGAAAGACACATTAAGAACAATCCTGGGAGATAGGTTCCCCACCCCTCGAGCTCATTCCACAGCCCTTGCCTTGATGAGCCTTAGGACCAGATGAGGTGGAGGCCCATAGCCACCAAGTACCCTGTGATATGTCACTTCTATCTGTAGTTTCTGTGACTGCTTCAATACCTAACAGCTTCCCCCAGCTGCCGAGACGCCGACCTTAGGTGTGTGTGTGTGTCGTGTCCTTCTCTTTCTCCAGTGCTGTGCACTGATACAGGACTCTGTCCATCCCACCGTTCCCTTCTCTCCACCCCCTGGAATGTTACTCTAGATTAGGGCATGCTTTTCACCATTCTAATCATGTACATTTACCCATTTGCATAATTTTCTGCCCTCTCCCAGAATATGCTCACACATAGTAGGTGTTCTTTGAGAGACAATGCTTCTGGACAACATCTACCTTATGTTTCTTCGACTAACATGGTGCCATGGGTTTTTTTTTTTGAAAAGTGAAACTTTCACCCTTGGAAAAATCTCAGTGGCCGCAAGCTTACACGGTGTGGTTTAACAGCATGTCACATTCCTGAAACCAATGCTCCATGGGTATTTGGCCAAACAAGCTTTCCTTTCTTTGAAGTAGAGTCAACTCCAGTTAGAACCCTGGGACAGGGGCGGAGGCTTAGCTCTGGACTGTGTGGTGGGTTTTCTGGGTGAGAGTTATCATGTTGCAGTGTTCATAACCACATCGCTTCAGTACAAAACACGGCCCCACACTGTAAGATTTCTCACGGCTGCCAAACTCTTAGTCCATTGAGGGGTTAGAAACCTCTGTTTCCTTAGTAATAGTAGAGGCTTCCAGACGGTTAGCCTGAAGGTACTAGTAGATTCATTTGAATTGGGAAAGGAGGATAGGTACATTGCTTATGATGTGACAAAATAAATTCACAAAGAACAGCCCCATCAGTTTATTAAGTACAATCAAGCCATCCAATGCTACAGTGACCTATTTCATACTGGATGAGGGAACTTGGTATTCTGAAATGGAATCAACTAGTCACTGACTTTTAGGGCTGGAAACGGACTGTGGATGCATCATCAGAGCACCTCCTGCTACAGCTGGGGAATTCAGGGTCCCAAGAACCCTTAGGTTCCAACAGAGACTCAGAGTGTTGTAGGACTTGCTTTCAATTTTAACAAGAACAACAACAAAGAACAAAAGAGCATTGGTTATTTGTCTATACATTGGTCAGAAGGAGACTCTTCAGACGTAACCGTATTTTTTTTTTTTTTTCAGAGACAGGGTTTCTCTGCTTAGTTTTGTAGACCAGATTGGCCTCGAACTCACAGAGATCTGCCTGCCTCTGCTTCGCAGGTGTTGGGATTAAAGGTGTGAACCACCATTGCCCAGCTAAACCATGCATGGTTCTTGATC